GAGATCCAAAGGGGTACCAGAAGCTTATATTGACATCATCCGAGACATGTACCGCGATTCCGATTCCATGGTTAGGACTGCTGTTGGTGACACTAAACCCTTCCCTGTCACAGTCGGAGTTCACCAGGGCTCAGTTCTCAGTCCCTATCTGTTCAGCGTGATATTAGACGAGGTCTCAAGCTCCATCCGAGACACGCATGAGCAACCCCCGTGGATGCTTATGTACGCTGACGATATTGCGCTGGCGGATGCGGATAGAGGGAGACTGGTACGACGAGTGAATGTGTGGAAGGAGTCTCTTGAGAACGGCGGTCTGAGACTAAATGTGGCGAAGACTGAGTACATGGTCTGCAACGCTACAGATCCCCTACCCGTTCGCATAGACGAAGACGCGGTCAAGCCTACGGGCCAGTTTAAATACTTGGGATCTGTACTTAGCGCGTCCGGAGACATCGACTGCGACGTCAGAGCCCGAATCGCAGCCGCTTGGGCAAAGTGGCGTGAGGTGACTGGTGTCATTTGTGACCCCAAGATGCTGGCTAAGCTGAAAGGACAGGTCTATAAATCCATCATTAGGCCTGTCCTTTTATATGGCAGTGAAACGTGGCCCGTACTTGAGCGCCATAAGCAGGAGCTGCGTGTCACGGAAATGAAGATGCTGCGCTGGATGTGTGGAGTTTCACGGAAAGACCGTGTCAGAAACTCCCGCATCCGCGGCAGCCTTCACGTCCGTGACATTGCAGATAAACTGCAAGAAAGCCGCCTACGTTGGTACAGCCACATCTTACGGAAACCGGCATGCTGCGTGGGAAACAAATGTCTGGCTATGCCACCTCCGCCGGGCCCCGGTAGAAGGGGTAGACCCAAGAAGTGCTGGCTTGACGTCGCCAAGGGTGATATGCGTGCCAATGGTCTCACCACTAAGGATGCCGAAGACCGCGCAAAGTGGAATAGAAAAAGCAGGAAAGCGGACCCCGGACTCCGCAGCAACACTGCTGAGGACGCAACCGGGACAACGTGCAGATGAGAGAGAGAGGAATTTTGGAAAGGTGATTAACACGATAGGATAGGTAGTGTATTTATGGGTAATTCTAAACAATGAAGGATAGAAATTATGAAAGGAAATGGAAATGACATGGTGATAGCTGGAAATAGTGATAATTGGATTAATAATAATCTAAAATTTAATATCATTTTTCCTTACTCATTTTTTCTTATGAACTGAGCCAACGTATTTTAAACGGAATAATTATTATACGATAATTATAGAGGAACAGATGTTGGTAAAGAAATTTGTAAACGAATTATAGATTGAAAAAACGAGGCACGGTCATATCTTGGACAGGAAATGAAAAGGTAGTTCAGACTGCCAATGCCTTGTTTACATTCGCGTATTGAATCAGTCGTCAAATAATGTCACCGTAATTTTTTATGAAAGAACGACCACAGACTACTTAGTGAACTACGTTCGTTCCAAAATCACATAGGTTGTTCCTCCGTTCCACTAACTGTCACCGTCACTCACGTCACGACATGCGACTGCGACGTATTTTATAAACAAAATTATGCGCGAACTCCGTTCTGTAAGAGACTGGCGACTGCGCATCTCATTGTATTTCGCTTTTATTTTTAAATTCTAATTATGAACCAAGAAATGAATAATTAGATCAGTAAATACTGTAAATAAGATAATTGTACAAAATTGATCCAAAATAATAAACAATGTTGCATGGTCTTATTAACGAATAATGCGACAGGCAACCTTCACACCGTAAAAATTTAAAGATTATTGCAGATCAATTTTTCAAATGAAATTAAACGTTACATCAAAATGATTATTATAACGACTACTAGAAAGTAGCAGCTTGCCCTCTAAGCGCTTGCCAAAACCGTTTATCATGACGGACAAAATTACGGTGATTTGTCACAGTGATTTTTTTGTAAGTGTAAGTATAATATCATTGGTAACGGTAGTCACGGTGATCGAAACATAACGCTTTCCCCCATGTCTAATGTTAACGATGATATGAATGGTAAAGCATAGACAACTATACTTTAAGGGCGCATTTATTCGACACGAATTTCATCATGCTCATTCCGCGGCCGCCGCGCGGTCGAAGAGCGGAGTCCGCGTTGCCACCGCGTAGCGACCGCGTGCGTCTAATTATAATGGCAAATAACGCTCTATTTTTTTAGCTTTTACGTTTTAACTTAAATGAGTGTCCCTGGCACGCGGGCGAGGCGGGCTTGAATTTGGTCTACGCGGCTGCCCGCGCGACGTCCGTGCAATCACCGTACGGAGTCCGTGGCGGCCCGAGTCGCGGCCGCGTGGTAGATTTCTTCAGAGGAATTTGTGTTGTTGCCTAGTAAATATAATTCAGATTCGTCATTAATGTACATGGAGGCGTGGTAATTGAACGGTCGCCGCGTGTCGGCCGCGCGAAAACTTTCTCCTCGTGTAACTGGACGCTAAAAGTTACTCATTCACATTACAAGCCATGTCGGACAATCATCCACCATATGTCCACAATAATCAATAAATAATTACGATCACAATCGCACAGATCTTTAAAAATACTGATAATCTAATAAGGAGATGGGCAGTGGGTTAAAACCATAAATTTAGTATAGTTAAAACCCAATCTGCCCATCCGGGTATTTCTGCCCAAAGTCGTGGCAGAAACCACTATACTCGTTAAATATCAAGGATTTGGTATTATACCATATAAATTTGAAATTTAGACGTAAGAAATAATTTTTTAGACAAAAAAGACGCAATCTCACACAATGTCCACTAACGATGACGACTCTCACTTAAACGACCCATTCGCTACTGGCACTGCAGTCCGCCGCGCAGGGAGGAAACTGCTCACACACTATCCTGCGTATGGCCCACGTATGAAGCCTCACAGGACAATTGCAGGAATGCAGAAGGCTTGCACTCTGCTACTATTTACATCCATAATCCTGCATTACATTAGAAAGGCAGACTGTTAATAAATTAAAGGTAGACAGTTATTCTGCATTGCAATCAGCCTAGCCGTCCGCCGCAAAATGCAGGATTATGAATGTAGTCGCAGCGTGCAAGTCATCCTGTAACCTTGCAATGCGTCTTAGGGTCGTATTCCAGAACTCTACTCAATGCTCAAGTCAGTACTTGAGCTTTGAGTAGAGTTCTGGAATACCGTTAGACTTTTATTTTTTTCTATCCTAGCAATACGACCTGCGAGACTCCATACATGGGTCACATGCAGGATGATGTGTGAGCAGTCTCCTGCCTGCGCGGCGGACTGCCGTGTATGTAGTGAATGGGCCGTTTAAAAGCCTTGCTACCATGCCAGGCCATAAACATTATTAAAAAAAAGAGACGCCATTTTGGATTAGACGTGTCGTGTTTGTGGTCGTGTCGTCGCAGCGTCGGGCCTTGATTTAGCTAAATAAAACTATCTGTCTATTGCTTCGTACAGAAAATCAGTATATAATAGTTGACGAAAGGTAAGGATGTTTATTATTTTGCCAGAATTGATATGCTGATATGGTTAAATTACATATATAGAGTCTAAAGTAGTCCTTTTACTTTGCTCAAATTTTTTGCAGATTATGCATATGCACGCCATGAATCAATACGGCAACCGAGGCTTTGGAGGACCACCGCAGCCCCAGAGACAAGGTGGCCGTCGTGGAAACAACCGGGGATTTGGCGGTGGTGGCAATTTCCGCAACAATTCTAGATTTGATCACAATCAGCAGAGAAACCAAAATAATCAAGGGGGTCAACGACCTCAGAATGAGGTGAGTTAACCGTTTTTTTGTTAATCGATAACTTTATTATTTATATTTTTACGAATATACATTAAAGTATTCAGTCCTTTGATACATGCAAAGATACATAACGATGCCAAGGTATCGATGTCGGCCGCCATCTTGATAGGCTGGGCTTCATTGCACGCCATTTTCAATTTTCTATTGTAGGGAACTTTACGGTTATAATGCGTGGCATATGTTTCTTGTTAGTTTTAATACTATGAGCTTTATTAAAATATAAGAATACAAATAACAATATTATTATAATAAACTGATGACTTCTTAGAACTAGTTTTAGTGCGTCATAATGTATACTTCCATGAAATCAAATGTATGCTACAGTCAAATCCTCCGCTGGCTGCCGAGAAGCCACAGCAGCAGGCGCAGCCAGTTCAGCAACAGCAGCAAGCTCAGACTCAGCCTCAGAAACCTCAAACTCAGCCACAGAAACCTCTAACACAGCCGCCTAAACCCCAGACACCGGCTACGCCAATCCCGGCTCAACAACAACAACAACAGCAGCAGCAGCAGCAGCAGCAGCAGAAGCCTGCACTCACTATACCAGCTAAGATAGACCCTAAGGACAGTGTTGATAATGCTGCTCCGGAGCAGAAAGTTCCGCAACAGAATCAACCTCCACAGAACCAGAATCAGCAACAAAAGTCGCAACAACAACAGCCACAGACACAGCAGTATCGCCTTCAACAAAATCAGAATCAAAATGTATGTTTTTTCCTTTTCTATCATTTAATAAAACATTTTATATTTTACCTACTTACTTTAAGTGCAGGCCACACTATGAATTAAGCTAAGCTAACTTAGGTTAGCTCATGTAGCTGGGGCGTCTGTTCTTACTTCGATTCACACCACAAAATATGTCGCTCTTCACCCCCGCAAGTACCTATAATGTAGCTCATCACTACTTACTGCGTGTTTTCTTAGTTTATCTTAAGCTGAGTTGGCTTAGCTTCATTTACGGTGTGGCCTGCGCTTTACACTGTTTGTTTATTTGTTATTTAGAATATGAATGGAGGCTATGGTGCCAATAAACAAGGTGGCTGGCAAGGAGGTATAGCTAATAAACAGGGTGGTCCATTTGGCCAAAAGAGACAAGGTGGTCCTGGAGGACAAGGGGCAGGGGGCCCACTTCAGGGACAACAAGGTCAGGGACATCAAGGACAGGGACACCAAGGTCAAGGACAACAAGGTCCAGGACATCAGGGTCAGGGACAAGGAGGGCCAGGACGTAATCAGCAGCGAGGGGGTCGTGGACCAATGGATGGAGGTAAACCAATTCAAAGAGAAGAACAAATGCTAGCAAACAAACTAAAGGACTTACAAGGACCAATACTGGACTTGCCTCCACTTGACCAGTCTGAAGTGAAGTTCAATGGAAGAAGTCGTTTGTACATTGGCAATCTCACCAATGATGTCACTGAAGAGGAAATATTGGGCATGTTTGGTGCCTATGGAGAAACTGCTGAGTTGTTTCTTAATAAGGAGAAAAACTTTGGATTTATTAAAATGGTAAGTTTAATATTTGTTTCATAATACATTTATTTTAAACAAAATTAAAGTTTACAGTACCTCATGGTATAAATTGTACATACTTGATACTTGTAAGTTTCATTATTTATTAGATAGGAATCAGCTTTATAAATAGTAATTAAGTTATAACTAATATTCATCATTTAATTTGTGGTACACTGTTATTGCAGGGACAGACTCGAATCTCCAAAAATACTGTATATAAACTAAAAAAAAACTACAGGGTTTTTTTAAATCAAGGAATCATGGAATCAAGTTTCGATTTGCAAATTTTAAATTTATTTTTGCTATAGTTATTTTGTGGGTAATGTTAACTTCGTATCTGTGGTGAATATATAAAAACATTTGATAATACTGACATGAATTGGTATTATAATATATTACTAGCTGGTGCCCGTGACTTAGTCTGCTTAGAAAAAATACTTTTAGTGGCCTACTGTACTATACTATTTTTTTGTTTAATACTTACAAAGGGCATAAATATGAATTTTCAGATTCCTTACTTGAGAAATTATTAGTACTCCCCACACCAACATACACCAACTTTCAGCCTCTATTTTCTTCTAGCCTATGTGCTTCTTCTAGGTCCCAATTATCTCTATATAAAAATTCAACAAAACAGATTCAGCAGTTTAGGCATGAAAATGTGATAGACAGAGTTACTCATTAACTACTCCGAGTCATCCTTGTTTTATACCGTAACATGTGTAGTGACATTTGATGAATTCTTTTTTAAAGTAGTTATGAAAAATTTTATGTTTTTTCTGTCCCTGTGACAGCTGTGTTACCATTACTTTTTAGGATCTTAGCATTAAAAAAAAACTGTGGTATATATCTTTTAAATTGTTAACTTTTTATATAATCAAATAAGTTTTGGTAGTCTTCAAGAAAATATTCAGAATTATGGAATATTATTTGAAGTATTTTGTCCTGCATTATTGGTCAGACAGTATTTATATTAATTTTATTTAAGTGCAAAAAAGAATTATTTATCCTCATACCATAACTGCAATCACTTAATGAAATATGCACGTTTTTATTTCACAATATGTAATTAGGCTATTAGGATGTGCTAATGCATTCAAATTCAACTTGTGTTTGACCAGTTTTTAAAATTTTGTTCTGGGAGGTTTTGCGAAATAAAAACATTAAATCATTTGTGGTCTTGGTTTTTTGACAAATAGAGAAGTAAGGTATGAAATGTAGTAACGGGTCAAACCAGAGATGTAAAATAGAGATTGCCAGATGAAAGTTTTAACTCGTGTCATGAGATTCCAGTGGACCTGTACTGTATTTATAATTTTGGTTTTTCAAATAAAATATATTTCTCAATAGGATTACAGAGTCAATGCCGAAAGAGCAAAGCATGAATTGGATGGTAAAGTCAGGAGTGGCAAACCTCTCAGGGTTCGATTCGCGCCTCACAACAGCGCTGTTCGCGTGAAAAACCTTCCGCCATTTGTCTCCAATGAACTATTATATCGTGCGTTTGAAATCTTCGGCAAGATTGAAAGGGCTTATGTGAAGGTGGATGAGAGAGGGAAGAGTCTTGGAGAAGGCGTGGTCGAATATGTACGCAAGCCAAGTGCCTTGGCGGCGATTCGTAACTGCACTGAGAAGTGCTTCTTCCTTACATCGTAAGTTTATTCTTATTATTATATCTATAAAGAATGACAATTTTTGCGACATGTACCAATTTTTTAATATTATTTCAGATCACTTCGCCCCGTCATTGTAGAGAGCTTTGAAGAGCCAGATGAACTGGATGGCTACCCTGAAAAGAACTTGCCTAAGAAACACCCCGAATTCCTCAAAGCTCGCGAGGTTTATAGAAATTTTAATTCCATAAAATTGTTATTTACTATGTCAGCAATCGTATTAATTCATAGTTACGTATTCGTCACACAGCTGGGGCCGCGTTTCTCCGAGGCTAGCAGCTTTGAACACGAGTACGGCACGAGGTGGAAACAACTCCACGAATTACATCGTCAGAAGGAGGACGCCCTTAAGAAAGAACTCGCGGCAGAAGAAGAGAAGCTGGAAGCTCAGATGGAGTACGCTAAGTAAGTATGCATGTGTGTAACACAGAAAATAATATAACTTTGTTGTCTTTCAATAACCACCGCCACTCAATCGAAATGAGCGTGTGACGCGAGTGGTACGGTTTTTGCGCAGATACGAGCACGAGACCGAGCTGCTCCGCGAGCAGCTGCGGCAGCGCGAGCAGGACCGCGAGCGGCAGAAGCGCACGTGGGAGATGGCCGAGCGCGCGGCCGACGAGCGCCGCGAGGCCGAGCGCCAGCAGCTGCTGCGCCAGGAGGAGGAGTTATCCACGCGCATGCGCCAGCAGGACGACGAGCTGCGCCGCCGCCAGCAGGAGAACACCCTCTTCGTGCAGGTTCTGCCCGTACCGAACATTTTTATTTTTATTCAAGTAGTCCGATCTCCACCAATGTGCGGTGTATATTCAACAACAAAACAAATATGGCAGTCGGGCGCTCACATTTCGTACTATCGTTATTAAGAAACATTGTATACACACCATTATATCAACCCACAAATTGCTACTGTCACACCCATTTCAGACTCGAGCCATTTACAGAACATTTTTTAAATAAATACATCTTACATACAGTTCGAGAAACCACCATGAGAAATCGTTAGCTGTAAAACATGTCAATAGATAGATAAATTGTTTATTAATCACAAAACACACACATGCAATACACATAAACAAACTAAAATAAATAAATAAACTAATCCAAAAAAAGCAATACTACAAAAAAAAGTAACACTACAATGAATACAATATATGCATTAAAACAAGATATCATTATTTTTTCAATTTTAAAAAACAAAAGATCAACTAACAAGATGTACAAACACAGAAATATGTAAGGCATTAGAATAAAAGCTCGCAACGCATTGCATGTGTGCGCTGTGATGATATAACGGCCGTAGCTCAGTGTGATTGCTGCTCAATTAGAACAACGTGTACTGATATTCTGCTACGCCCGAGAAAAGCAGAAAACGGCGAAACCGCTGCGCGGCAGTGAGTGCGCAATAGGGAATATCAAAAGAATTAAATGTTTATAGAATCATATATATTTAATTAATATTATAACTTAATTAAAATTATAACAATAATTTCAGGCCCAACGGCTGAACTCCATGTTGGATCGTCAGGAGCAGGGCATGTTCGACCAACAGAAGCCTATGGTGAGTACTTTGCTTGATTTTCAAGTTTGTACCACGTAGCGCTACCGGAATTGGTAAATTCTTGGTACAAACTTTCGTTTCTTAAGATAATACTATATTATTTCAGGATTATGATTTAATATGTCGCATTGTAAGTGTATTAGAAAAACATGTGCATCATGAATTGAAATATTACTATTTTTGTAGGTACAGTAGAACCTTCAAGTGTTTCAAGTGTTGCGTAATGTATACATACGTATACTATATATATACGTTTTGAATTAAGAACACATCTCCAAAGACCATAATTGCCAAAAATATGAATAAAATCTCATTAATTATTTACCACTCAAATTACTAAAGAATTCCCTTATTAATTAATTAACATCAATACGTAATTATTATTATTTGTAATAAAATAATTATGAATAAATAAATGCATTGAGTTAGGAAGACAATTGCTTGTTAAAAAATATAAGCCTTCTTCATCTCTATTAAGGGCATTGCCTTATTCGTTCATTACTGATGTATACTCTACATGGTTAGGTAAATTCGATGGATTTATTATTAAAGTGCAATTAGACTTATTCAATGATCTTATACACAAGATATGTTACGTTCATAGTAATCGACAACGTTTGAAATGTGTCGCGCAACCTATAAAAACTTTTTCAAAAAATGGCGCGTGATTTGCATTGTCGGGTCATAGATGATTGTATATATATATATATACATTCCGTAAAGTAGGTAAGCAGTAAAACACAATGGAAAAGGTAAAAAAATATTTTGTTATTAAACAAACGTGAAAAACATTGATAAGTAAGTCAAATAGAGTCGTCTATTTATTATAATGCTATTTCTAAGGTAATAAATAGATTTGTTCCTTATATCCCTATCCTTTCATCATCATCATCATCATCATCATCATTTCAGCCGAATGACGTCTAATGCTGGGTATAGACCTCCAACAAATTTAAATTAAGTTCAATAAATTGGTCTTCCGCACTTAAACATTAACATTAATTAGGTCTTCTAATCAAATCAAAAATATGATTTTTATTTCAATTCTGTGTATTTTTCATATACAGGCAAGAAATTATTTTATAATGTAAGATAGCATAAAAACGTACGTTACAAATCTCTATAAATAAGTATCCCGATTACTATTCAGTCATCTACCGAATTTATGATTTTTCTGCCTATAATGCTCGTATAATCTGCACTTATCACAGACGTACATCTAAATAGACGCCGCAAGGGTACTTACTTCGCGTGCCCAATGTCAGCTATAAACGCCTAGTTGCCGCTGCTACGTTTCAAAACGCACACGTTGCAAAACCTGGCCTTTATCGTAATTAAACATCAGTAGAAAACGCGAAAAATGCCTAATTATGCCAATAGAAGCAGTAAAAACACCATAGCTGTGAGAATTGAAATAAACAAGGAAGGTTTCCTTCTACAGTTATATATTTTTGTAATCAGAATATGTATAATTTATTTTAAAGTGAATTATTTTAATTTTGAATTAATTTCGAGAAAACAAATATGCAAACGAGTGTACGCCGCGTGTTTCGTAATACATTTTTTTTTTCATAGTTTTTTGTAATGTATTGCGGCTTTTACTTGGTGCAGTACACTTGTGATCCTTCTTTAGTAGGCTTTGAATATCAAACGTGCGATACTTTTGTAGAATGCATGAAGTTTCGTGCATACCAAAATCATAAAGAAGCGACCGTCTTTATGATTTTGGTCAAATTTTACGATTACTGATGTTAACTTGATGCAACACAATTCTCGATTTTGATCGATTTAGGAACCAAAGGGATGATATCCTTAAGACCTTAGAAAATGTTATAAAAATATTCTATAAAAGTTTGTTAGTTTTCCGGAGCAACTTTAAAAAAAAACACGTGTTAAAGTATTACTAAAGGACGTATTAATAATTATGTTATTCTGCCCCCGTAGCATCCTGCCACGATAAAACTTATTATACCCACCTTTAGCTGTCGTCAAATTCGAGAGATAAGACCACCATTATAAAATTTTATCACAAGAGCCTCGACCAATGGCTGCAAAAGAATATCGCAGTACCAAACAGCTGATTTTAAAACATTTTGACAGTTCTGCACAGTAATTTTATCAATCTAAAAACAGAGCGCGACAAACGGTATAAAAATAAATAATAAAAACTAACAAATTGATATTATATAAATTATTGGGAAAAAAGTGAAGAGTACATTTTTAAAACAGTTTTTAACACATGAGGGTAATTAGAAATAAATAAATAATAAAGAATATAATGTAAAATGAGTAAAACCTGAAACTACAAAAACATTTTTTTTGTAGTTTCGTTGTTTTCGCGGCGATGGTTAAACGACAAAGATATAGCATTCATTATACCCAATTTCATATCGTTATCCTTGTTCATGATAATGTATAACAATAGTCCATTACTATTTGGTAACTGTAATTCTGATCGATCGAATTCGAAATTGTTTCTTTAAACAAAATCACTCGAGGACGAATTACTCTGGTGCGTATGTTACCCATTCTGTATTCGCATTAAAAGAAAAATATTTTAATAATGGCTACATAGCTTTATCAACTGAAATAAACACGTCACGGGGACGTTTATCACATATTGCATGTGACGGTACGGGACGTTACTGCCATGCTACGGTCACTTGTATTATTTTACTATATTAATATTTCACGGTTTCTTATAAAGCAACAAATACTTGAAAAATCATTATTTCAAGTACGTGCTGCGTCCACGTCTTGGATTTAGTCAATCGCTTTAATGCCGAAGGAGGTTTCCCGTCACTAAATAGCGCTTATGACGCCATAGGAGGCACAAAAATATGGCAAGCTTGGTTTTCATGCAGATTGCGGTACTTGCGGTGTCTATTTAGACATAATATCAGTGCCACTAATCTATGACCGGAGTTCATGCGTCCTTATAAATCTTGCAGTTGTCTTATTTTCGAATCTTCAAGATGCGGATGCCAGTAACATATTTGCTTTTTTACGTATATAAGATCATTGGACAAATTTCAAATACGTGGTAAAATATAGGGTGTTAGAAGTTTTAAGGAGGTTCTACTGTAATGTATATAATACGATATGTAATATCTACATAATTTATTTAAAAAAAATGAACTTGCAAGAAACCGTAAAATAAAATGTTTGGCGTCAAGAAATTATATCTATTCACACGAATAAATAATATCAATATATAATATTATGCTCCGCATTTATGCGGTTGGTACTTCATTGAACGATAAAGGATGCAAACTTCGAAATATTCTCTGAAACAGTTGGAAACTGATTTTTCTGTTCGTCATTTAATTACCAATCACTATTGTGAAACAAAATTGCGGACACAAGTGGGTCATTACGTTTGTGTTTAGTTAACAAAATTACGTCAATGGAATGATGCGCATTCAATGTCATGATTAGGGCGTTCGAAACATAAACGAAACTCAAATAAAGGTATCTACAGCTCAAAGAACGCATGTTGATGTCGCATTAGGCGGACCCACCTAGCTCATAAAATAGATATCCAATTACGCGGGCACGAGACTAATGGTCAAGATAAGTAGCTCGTGTGATTAAGAACGCGTTGGACTGTTGGATGCAAGCGATCCAGACCGTATGTGATGGATGCCCTTCTGCTAGGTGTGTGTCGTTATGATGGCAGTGTTTCGAATACGGTTCGGGTCCAAATGACGTTGTAACACGAATTATTGTTTGCTTAGGATTATGAACGTTGGTAGTGGTTTACAAAGTGCAGGTTTTGTGACAGCCGCTTTTTCAAGACTTGGCATGCTTCTTATAATATTTTATGACAAAAGAGTGCACATAGACATCGTCAAACTCGTCAGTTGACATATGTTGGTGACGGCAGTGTCTGATATCAGTCGTTCGCTAATTATGACGTTATTGTGCTGAATAGATATAATTTCTGAACAAAACTATATGTCGCCCTATCGGAGAATTTGACGACCGCCTTTTGTAATTTTTTCTGTTCCATTGGTATGAAATCACGACATTATATGGAAACAAAAGATTATTACTTGACTTAATGAAACTTACACAAATTTTACTGATGCTTTTAGAAGTTACCTACATCACAAAATCTGCTAAACAAATTTTACCTGGTAATATATTACAAAAAGGAAATTGGTGGTGTAAAATATATTTTTCTCTTAATTTATCAACTCATTACTTTTTAGCACACTGCGTAAGTGAACAAAATGATGGTTCCTTTTCGATGTGATTCGTAAAGGTAACTTGTCGTTGAATTATCTTGTTTTTTATGCAATGACAACTATTGGCAAGTATTATGATTGCTCACTTAGGACGGAGGCTACCGAGACCAGTACGACATGTCACGCGGAGGCTATGACGACATGCAGGGACGCGGTTGGGACAACCGCCAAATGGATGATTACCCTAACAAACGTCGTCGGTTCTAATCACAGCGTCTTAAACACTCGTGGCATCACGTATCACGTCTTAGTGAAATATTGCACATTTATCATCTGTGCGGGAGTTTTCAGCTAGACAAATTTTGGGGGGTTGACATTTCGTAAATCTTTATTTTATACATTTGATGTAAATGTATTTCGTACAAATGTAGTGTTTTCTTGACCGCGTTCACTAAGTTCCTTGGTCGATGAACAGCCCTATGACGATTTTATGACGATTAAATTAACAACAAACTTTTTCTAAAATCTGCCCATAATTTGTTCTGGCTGGCGATAGTTTTGAAGTCACATCATTTATTCAATAACAATATTGATCACATTGAAATGTAGGTTTAACGTAAAGTAATACATATTTTAATTAATATGTTAGATTAAATAACGCTGAGATTGTTTTGTTCGGTTACGGTTGTTAGGAAACGATCGAAAGATTATTTATTGCCAATTTTTTTTACTTTCACAATAATTCTCCATAGAAGGAATATTGCAAATATATATAATGTATTGGCAGATAACTGACTGTCATATATTTAAAAATATCAATATATTATCAATACATTGGCAGCAATCATGACTGAAACGGTAAAAGACAACACTCAGGGAAATGAGTGCATGCATAGTTTTGTTACAGTATGATACGAGCTATTTTGGATTTTACTAATTACATCGAGTACTGTCTCGCTTTTCAAATGTCATAAATATATAAATATCATTCTACACACCGGCGGAAATTCTTATATTTATTCTTGTATGTTATTTATATATCCACTTAACAGTTCTTAGATCTAAACTTGCTATATAACCGCTACTACCAAATATAAGAAACATACATTCAGAATGTCACTTGTAGCATTTTTAGAAGCAAAATTATAATAATGTCGTAACGTATGCAAGTTATTTTGACCTAAACGTAACAGTGGAAAAATCCATATCCAAATCTTTGATTAAATTAATTTATTTTATGTATGAAAAATTTATTTTTTACAAAATAGAACTAGGTTTTGGGTAGGTTTGTACTCGGCAAATCTTAGTAAGATAGTACATTATGTTTATTTTTAAGATAGGTATGTGTTAGGTTACTTTAGTGTGAAACTTAATTTATCTATTCGTGAATTGAGTATACATTTTTAATAAATTAAGAACTTAGATTACATATTTCTGATTCTTATTTCAGTGTTCCTATTTTTTTTATTTAACTTATTTATTGGAGCCGCTATTAATAATTTTATATTTGTGGGACTATTGCTCCATAATGCATGCAGTTATATTTTTATTTAAACTCTATCCACTTTTAAAATGTATGTAGATAATTTGGTTCATCTACCAACTAATTCGAGTTTAAAAGCAGTAAGTATAAGTAAACGGCTGGGAGTTTTCGCTGTAGCAGCCTTTTGAAGGAATTTGGCAAATAAAAATTTTCTTATTGTTTAATTGATTTTGAAGATGCTCAATTAATAAATATGGAAGAGGTTTGTGTCCAAATGCAAGCAAATAAAGTTTTGACGTAAAGAGCTGTATCACTGCGACTTCACTTGCAATGACTATCACGAATTAGCGATTTGACTAGGGTTGCAGCCGAATATAATTAATTATTTCAACTTACTGAACGATTTAGAAAAAACAGAAGTGCGTAGTGAAATGTTTTGCCACACATATTGTTTTTAACACGTTCACCCGTTAATGTATGAGAATGACAGCCAAAGTAGTACCTCCTCCTTGTGCCCATCTATCCAAAAGATTACCAGTGTGCTTTGAGTTTTAGGGAATTTGGGGAAATTTTAACATAAGCAGCATATATTATGTATATACAAATAGATTTTAAAGTGACCGAGAGGAGGCATCTTTTGTCATTTGTTTGGGGAACAAAAAATAAAAAGAATGTCCTTTAAACTAAAATTTTTTCAAACTTATAAAAAAATCCATAAATTATTTGTAAGTTTTTAAAATATTTATTAGATTTTAAAAACGATAAAATATTATTGTATGTACGAAATCTGCAACTTGTTCCAAAGCAACTTTTCAGTTTATGCAAATGGAAACAACAAACAGCATGTCATAAATTTAAATTAATACAAGACTTCGTCATGGCAAATAATTCCCGTTCAATACAATAAAACTAAATTTACGTGCTAAATTGCACATTATTTGTTGTTTCATTAGCTTTAAATGAGGCCTTCCCAACCGGGTTTTCAGATAGGCCATAATTCAACCTCATTGTCAGGTGGCGGGCCATCTAGCCGTTCTGCATAACGTCCTTCCACGGTCTGTTGGCGAGCTTTTAATATAATTATATTATCAGAAGTTTCTCGTGAAGTACACGTTGGCCCAGGATCTTTAGTCCTGGTTATTAAAGGTAAACAATATAAAAAAAGTAAAGTTTTGTGAAAGATTATGAAGAGATTATGGTTTATAGAGAGAGAGATATGATGTTTTTTTTTGTTTTATTGTGGGGCACAATTATTTGTTTCCTTTGTATGAGAAAATATTTTATCTCTTGTAAGTTCTTAAACGATGTTGGTATTACTAGGTTTGCTACTAAAACCTAACAAGAATGTTAGTTGCTTTTTTGCTAGACAAGCTTTTATGTAAAAGAAATACCTGAAAATTAATGTACGAACCCAGTCAGTTTTTGTAAATAAATGCTCTGCAAATGGTTTATGGAAACAAAAGGTCTAGATTTTATTACTTACATTTGTTATGTTTAAACAATGGTTTTTATTTTTTGTAGTTTGTGAATAGAGTACAAATAAGAAATGGACATAATTATTATCTAAGGCCAAAAATATGGTCGATTAAATAGTCCTATTTTTTATTTCATGGACTATGTATATTTTCTATTTGTTTCTTGCATTGGATACTATAATTTTTTTTGGAAAAAAAAAGTAATGACTGGGTATAAAACTTAAGTAACACACGCTAACTACAGGTAAGTATAGAGAAAATGTGGATTGGCACCTTCCGTAAAGCAGAATTATCACACTGCACATTTCAGATTCTTTACAATAAATAATTCTATAGTCTTATATATGAAATATATGTTCAAAATTCTTAAGATTCCATGAAAATATTTTACAATAAAATAATTATTTTGTCAGCATAAAATATACCCTATAATTTTATAAGCTATTTGGCCTACGCAATTAACATGTTTTAAGGAGCACCGTAAACTGACGCCATAAATAATCTACACATCATGATCGTCCTCACCGGCGAGGACGAAGAGCCCCCAGTTCAGCATATACTCGCGCAGATTTATCCCTACAGCACGCCCTTTTACCGGAAGTCTCCAGCAGTCCTCAGGCCTGCTACTTTAATTTTTAACGGGTTCAGAGCCTTCAGCTTACCATTTTATCCGGTGGTGCAGTCAAGGCCATCATCGGCCAACTGCAAAGTGTCCTTCAGAAAAAAAGAGACGCTGCAATATTCCCCAAAGGATATTCAAAATTACATGCCGATTAGTGTACACACTTCTAGCGTCCATTCACTAATAATACTTTTGATTTTGTTTTCTGTATCTTGAATGTGATGGTACATTTTCATAAAAAAAAAACTTAACCTGTGACCAGTTAATATCAATTTCTGCTCCTACGCACTTTTCATAAGAACCATTTTTCTTGTTATTGTTTTTTTTCAGAAAAATGCTTTTTTAATCTGTATCAACGTCATAAACTCTTTTTTTTTTACAAAAGTTATATTGAATAGTAATGGACTAATGAGAATGGATTTGTTTCAAATCGAATTTCTAATTGTCTAGGCGAATTTGAGCGCTCTGTGCTACAACTCTGTGACAATTGTTTCATCAGATCAAGTTCGGCGTATTTTCAAAACGTCTGAAAAATGAAATGATGTTGTATTCATATCATCGTTGATACTCTGCAGAAAAGGCTGATATTTTTCTCCAATTTTTTGATGTTTTACATCATACCCGTTTCTTCTCACTGTCAAGTGTTACAGTTTTCGTTAATGTCTTTTGTGCACTACCGTGCATTTCTCAGATTTTATAATTTTAAAGTCTTTCCAAACAGCTGTAAAAAAGGATTGTGGAGATAAAGGAAGATTTGGAAATACTGAAGAAAAATACAACTGTGTTATTTTCTGAGGACAGTATTCCTCACGCCCGACATCGACGACACTATCTGTCTCAAACTACGTCATTATGTGTATGGTAAGTTGTAACTTATATTTCCAATGGCATGAAAGGTTGAATTCCAGTCACATTTTTATGATCCATCTGTCTGCGATAGCCTGTGTGATCAATCACAGATATGAGAAGAAATTATCTGTTGTAACATTCGCTGTCGCACTCGTGGGTCTCTAAATCTGTGACACTGTTCGACCTTGCATCCGGCAATTATTATATTTGCCTTTTTCTTATGTACTCGTATGGGTTTATGTACCCAGACATAGTCATTCTGCGAATAAAGCGCATTTAACAGTGACCCAAATGTTCTGTTTTGACTCTTCGGAAAGTAAAGATTTCTCAATGGACCACTATATACTACTTGTACGATTTTTCTGAAAACCGATCAATTAACGAGGAAAGTTATTATTTATTTTATACATACAGGATACAATTACAAGAATATTAATGTAGGTAGGAATGTTTAATACACGATATATTGCAGTACAGATTGAAGAATTAAACTAAAGCGTTTCAGCTTGTTAGTTATAGTAACGCTATATTGTATTGGGTTATAAGATTATGTTCAGCTTGAAAAAGTACGACCACATTTCCTGGTGTATGGATGAACTGAATTTACTGCATATTTGTCGTCGTAGAGATGAATATGCCGCAAATATGTTTATAACAAACGTTATGTGTGTCCTGTATGAAATCCTTTTCAACTTTCCACTAATTATCTTGGTTAGTTCTTTCAATTCCGTCAGGCTATGGGTGCCTGCGTTCCAGCACTAATTTGTCCCTCATCCTACTTTCCCACAGTTCCCAAAATTTTTAGGAGTAGATAAATGTCTACATTGAGATAGAAGGAGTAACATCGAGTGGTTAAAACCACCAAATATTAATTGATTACTTTTTTCGAATTCCGGAATAGTTTTACTGCATCGTAAGATAAAATAACTCACTTGGGAAGCTGAAGTTGAATTTTCAAGTAATTCTAGGGGCGCCATGTAACGCTTATATGTAGACTTCTATCTAATCCTTGGGAACACCCTATTCCGACCATTGTTTATTATGGATTACATTACAATTATTATTCATTGATTATGTATGGTTTAGTATTACGTGGGGCGCACTATACGTTTCCGGAATGAATAAGAAAAAAATACTATAAATGGTCAGAAATGAATTTATTGTCAGAAATGCACTTTTTCATACGAATTAACCAATTTTGAAAACATTTATGCCACTCCTCCGTGACAATCTCTGAAACATATTATTCATACTCTTCGACAGCCTCTTCAGATTATGGAAATCGTTGGCCGCGTAACTGGTTCTTAATTTTTGGAAATAAACAAAAGTCACAAGGTGCCAGGTCGGGACTGTACGCGGGATGGCTCATAAGGTCAACGTTGTTCACCTTCAAAAATTCATTTGTCTGTCTGGCCGTCTGAGAACTGGCATTATCGTGGTGCAAGATGATACGGCGTTTATAGTTATTGTTACGGAGTTTGTCAATAACGTCCGGCAAACAAATGGTCGTGTACCAATCACTATTCACAGTACAACGCTTCTCCAAAGCAACAGTAGCCACGTGTCCAGTTTTATTATAAAAAGAAGCAATCATCCGCTTAGAAGCACTTTGCACGCACGCCACTTTGATTGGTTTCGGCTCATCTCGAAAGACCCATACGCTCGATTGCTGCTTTGTTTTGGGATCGTAACTATAAATCCATGCTTCGTTACCTGTTACTGTGTCCCACACCAAATTTGACGCCCTGGATCTGGTAAGCATGGCATTGCACCAAGTGACGCGATCTGTTTTTTG